CACGCAAAAATAATAAACTGAAAATAAAAACAATATTCTATTTTCTTTGTTCCTCGTGATACTTATATAAGCGACATAATCATTTCAGAATCTACCAAAGATTAAAAACAGAGGTTTGGTCAAAACTAGATAAAAGGTTGAAATGGTTCAGGTTGTCTGAGGACTGCAATTGTCATTAGGCGTTTTTCTGAATTTAATTAAAACGATATAATTCGTGATGTTTAGTCGTGTAAGTATTATATGTAAATGAAATTGAACGTTTCCTAGAAATAAAGGAAGTAATCTATAATAACCAGTACCACTAACATATGATCTATGGCTATAAATATAGAGATTACCATTTGGATTTGCATAATAAAGAACAAAAATAGTGCTAGGCGTTGTATAAAACGTACATTTGTATTTTGTACTTAGATATCAAATATCAATGATCAATTAAGTACTTCTTAAATACACAAGCCTAATCATAAAATTCGACATACAAACATTATAAAAATTAAAAAAATTCAAATCACCGAAGCATATCTAAAGAAACTGCAATGCAGTTATATCTAGATTTTTTTTTCTTTAATTGGAGACTTAGGTGTTAGTGGAAAATCTTTGATTGTTTCCTTTTAAATTTTTCAGAACGTTTGTAGACTCTGGACAATTTAGTCTGGTTTATTGTATGGACACGTGTTTGTTATTGAAGACTGTGTTGACCTTAAAATGTCTTTTTGGTCATTTTTGTTGTTGGGTTGCTGCCTCATTGAAGTTTACCTCGGATCTCTTTTTATTCATCTTACTATAAGGGCCTAAAAATAAGAATTTTATTATTCTAATCAAGAACCCATAAAGGGCATCATTATACAACAACAATATGCACAATATGATTGGAAAAAAAAACATATACAAAAACAAGAACCTAATATAATTCTATCAGGTCATGGACAGGATCAGAGCCTAACACATCATGTGTCTTATATAACTATTACAACATATCTCATAATAATAAAATATCATTTATATATTTTGTTTCGAACAGGATCTTATTTCTAAACACTGAATAATATAATTTCCTAGGCACATAAGAGTTGGTAAATGCTCATTTGTGAACAGCCAGAAATATTGTTTTATCTTTGGGTAATTCTTTAAAATTAGTACAAAAACTGTTTACTTTATCAAATAATAATGTTCTCTGTTCGTTATATAAAGCACAACTTACTGTAAAATGGGTCTCATCTTCAATAGAATTTGATGCATGTGATGAGCAGTAATGACATAGTCGCTGAGTTCTCTCTATGTATTTTTTACTATATCTATCTTTCCTCAATTCTAAGATCACGAGAACCTATTCTAATTTTACATATAGCCCTTCTTATATTAAAATCTTTAATTGATAAATAAGCCTACAAAGTCAGTTTTGAGGTTGAAATAATTTTCTAATTTACTATCACCGATGAAGTTTTCTTAAATTAGATAAATATTACAGCAAAAATGCCGGTTTTTTCTAAAATTTTGAAAATTTAATAAAATTGAATTATTTCTAAATAATTGCTACACAACTTAAGATGATACTTTTGTAAAGAAGATATTCCAATTGGCAAATCGTTTTACAAAAATCAGCATGTGTTTTATCTTTTGAAACAAAAAAGTTAAGTATGTCTATCCAAAGGCCCGGATAGAAATGTCAAAGAAACCGAAATTTCCAGTAAATGTCCAAAATTTCGACCCAATTTAACCCAAAATTTAGTACATGAAGGTATATTTTTATAACATATTTGAATTGACCAGGTGAAAAATAACTTGTATGGAAGTTTTCGTAAACAAATCACAGTGTATCGTATGCCCTTAACATGCATCTTTTGTATCTTTATTTTTTGTGTCATTGATTGCTTTCAACTTGATATATACCCCAAATCTCCTTTAATCCATAGTAATAAGAAAGACTGATATATGAAATACAGGCATTTAAAAATTCAGAAAGAGTGCACAAACTGAAATGTTTCAACTTCTTTACTGACCATGATTGATTTTGTGCTGATAGTATTTTAAATAAAGGTTTTACTGCAAGTATCAGATAATATCAATGATCTATGCAAATGAAGCCAAGGTCAGATGAACCCTGCAAGACAGATACTTTCTAAATCCAGCTTGAGGAAACTGTCGTGTTAGCAAGGGTACCGCTTGCACATTTTTATATGATGCAAAGAGACTAAATGCATACAAAGCAAATGTTCATATCTTGTCAATCTTCATTAATTTTGACATCAGCAATTAATTCAGGATGTGTTCTCGGTTAATATATATCTGTTAAAATCCAAGCACTATGTAATTTGGTGGGCGTTTTCGTAAATGGTAAGAAACCAATAATTTGGACACAGAATCATTTTGTAATAGCAAAAATCCACACAAATATATAACGCACATCTACATAATCTGCACAATATCTGTGCAAAAATTCATTGGCCTCCTACCTTTACTTATGGATTTTTTTTGGGTTTACAAAGATTGTTGACAGCCAGGGGGACAAAGTGAAAACTATAGGGCTCCCGCATCCTCGATGCAGGGCCCTAATAATTAAAGCATGTAGATATATATATATAGTAACAGTTGTGAAGTAATTCCCAAGATAAACAAGAGTGCACACGCTGAAATGTCTCGCCTTCTTTACTAACCATTGATTTTATGTTTATAGTCCTAAGTATAAAGCTTTACTACAAGTAACACATAAACTTAACATGATCCAAGAAAATGAGGTCAAGGTCAGATAAACCAAACGAGAAATACATGTACACCTTACAATCATTCAATAAACCAAACATAGTTGACCTATTGCTAATAGTTTCTAAGAAACAGTCTTAACCAAGAAAAAATAACATTGACCAATGAACCATGAAAATGAGGTAAAGGTCAGATGAACCATGCCAGACAGACATGTACACCTTACAATCAATTTATGCATTAAATATAGTTGACCTATTGCTTATAGTATATAAGAAACAAACTTAACCATGAAAACTTAACATTGACCAATGAACCATGAAAATGAGGTCAAGGTCAAATAACCTTCCAGACAGACTTATACACCTTACAATCCTTCCATACAACAAATATAGTTGATCTATTGCTTATAGTTGAAGAAAAACATACAAAAACACAAAAACTTAACACTGAGACATGAACTGTGAAAATGAGGTCAAGGACAAATAAAACCTGCGAGACTGACATGTACATTATAAAATATTTCCATACACCAAATATAGTTGACCTATTGCATATAGTATTAGGAAAAAAGACCAAAACTCAAAAGCTTAACTTTGACCACTGAACCATGACAATGAGGTCAAGGTCAGATGACACCTACCAGTTGGACATGTACACCTTACAATCATTCCACATACCAAATATAGCAGACCTACTGCTTATAGTATCTGAAATATGGATTTGACCACAAAAAGTTAACCTTGTTCACTGATCCATGAAATGAGGTCAAGGTCAAATGAAAATTTTCTGACGGGCATGAGGACCTTGCACATACTAAATATAGTTATCCTATTACTCATAATAAGAAATTAACATTACAAAAAATGTTAACTGAACCATGAAAATGAGGTCAAGGACAATGGACATATGACAGACGGAAACTTCATAACATAAGGCATCTATATACAAAGTCTGAAGCATCCAGATCTTCTAGCTTCTAAAATATAAAGCTTATAAGAAGTTAGCTAACGCCGCCGCTGCCGCCGGATCATTATCCCTATGTAGAGTTTTCGGCGACAAAAGTCGCAGGCTCGACAATAACAATGAAAATAATGATTTGGAAAAAATAGTTAAATCTGATATACTCAAAGCTTATATTTTGTATGAAATATCTAAAATTAATATAAGGCCAATAACAGGAACTTTGAACAGATAAGTTGCCGTGAACATATATTTATAACTGATGTACAAAGCATGTTTCAATGCTCAACAGAAGTTTTTAAGTAGAAATTACAAGCATAACCAGATAAAAAAAAATTTGTAGGATATAATGCTTTTTTTATTAAACTTAGTACAATGATGAGTCTGAAAAACAAAAAAATGCTAAAAAAAAATTTCTTATTTGTACAACTGCTTAAAAATTCCAGTTAAAATTGAAATAAACCTTAAAATTATTTATTTTATTGAGCTGTATTTATAATTGATTAACTTTCAGCATTATTGTGCTTTTTCGTGGCGGTCAGTTTTTATTGTTGGAGGAAGCCAGAGTCCCCGGAGAGAACTATTGGCCTTTTGGTAGGAAAACTGACAATCATAGTCAATTAAAATTGGAGTCCAGCAGGTTTTGAAACTCACAACCTCAGTGTTGACAGGATAGTGATACAGTAGTTCAACTATATGGACCACTCTGCTACCATGGCCCTGTGTATTTAATTTGATTACTGTAAAGTTTTTGAACTGGCTTAAAGGCAAACCTAAACAGGCTGAATGCCTAGAAGGTAGAAAGTTTAGATTAGTACAAAGGGAAGTAACTTTTTAATGCAACTGTATTCTTATTATCCTATAAGATATATATATATAGATATATAATGGGGAAATAATTTAAAATAAGAAAAAAAACCAAGTCACCTTAAAACTGTTATCTTTTTTCACATCTTTAGTCCATCTTTTCTAAATCAATGCAACAATTCATTTACTGATATATATGTTAAAGTTTAAACAAATCTTCATTTCTGATACTTTAGGAAAATGTCAGTCTAAATCTTTCTATTTTGCTGGAACATTCACAAAAAAAAAATACCAGTACTATTTTACTTTTCTTTTTTAAATGAGTGAAACCATTTTCTCTGGTATTAACATTACAACTGTGATTGATATGAATACATTTACAGGTTTCAATTTGCCTATGCTGGAATTCCTTACTTTCTTTTTTTGCAAGAATCTCTTGTAACATATCAGGTCATTTTCATTGAAAAATCATATTCATGCCATTTTTTCTATGGTCCTTTCAAAGACCATGAATCAATGATAAACACTTTTAAAAAGTTAAAATTTTATTAGCAAACAATGAACTCTTGAAAACACCTATAAAATGTAAATACAGATTTCGGTTAAACAGTCAATCCCATTTTGAAGTCCGCACACGACTTTCTAAAGTACCATCTGGGTTTATAGCCACATAACTTTTCTTCTTTTTACTGTCTGTCACATTCATGTAAACAATATATGAAATACATCCAATTAACATTACTGTACCCATAGACATTGTAAATTTATTCTGAAAAAGAGTAAAAAAAAATGTTCTAAGTAATTGTATGATATATTTTCAACAAGAAAAAACAACCTGTAAATGCACTTGTAAAGTAAAATGGAAAGTCAAATTTCAATGGACCATTTAACCCTTTTACCAATTTTTAATGGGCCAGTGTACTATTGAAGATGTTGAAAAATTATTGGTCATTTTTTAATCTCATTTATAGCCACCTATTTTAAACTGTATCAAATTAATCAAATGACCCATGCCTTCCCAATCAATGCCTGAATTATTTGAATTAAAAAAAAAAATGGAAAAATTGGACAACATTCAACATGTTCACAGTTAGATAAAAAAAATCAATACCTTAGTCATGTTGGAATATTACTTTCAAACAGAAAATTAAAAAAAAAATGTATTTCAGCAGTTATAGCTTTTCCTCTACACGTTTATAAAATTAATGAATAAATTCGTTATTCCCAATACATGTATCTTAAACAGAAAAAGATGCCTTAAAATTCGAATTTTGCTTCAATATTTTTTTTAAACGTGTCAGGTGTATATTCCTACAGTCTGATTAAAACCAGTCCCAACTATCCACTTGTGCAATAGCAGCAATACTATTGATAGTTAGTGACACATCTCCATTAATCCTTATAGGGAGTGTACAGGGATTCCACTGTACCCTTGCAGCTTTCTGGGGGTGCTTCAAATTCGCATAACGGAGGAATTTACATACATAAATTTAGTCTTAGATGCATGATTTTTTTTTTTTCCTTTATTTCCAACAAGTAATTTACTATTTTTAGTAACAGCAAAAGGCAGTCTGAAAATATTTTTCCAGTTCAGGTTTTTGTTCACCTACAATTTTAACCAACTTTAACTGTCCAGTAGGAATAATATTATTTCTAGTCAGTAAAGAATACATATCTTTTGATCCTTTACAGTGTTTTAAAAATACTTGTAGACATGCTGGTATAAAAGGACAACATAGTTTTTTTTTTATTAGTTGTTATTTGCTTTGAACTAGCTGTCAGTAACTGTGAGTACTCTCAGATCTGCACTAAGTGTCTTTTTGTTGATGGGATGTACAAGTACCCGTCCACGTCTACTCTTTATTTTTGTTAGATGTACATATATTTCTTTTTGTATCCATCTGATGAGTTAAGCCTTTTTCAACTGATTTTTGTAGTTTGTTCTATTGTTGTACTGTTACACCACTGTCCCAGGTTAGGGGAGGGTTGGGCACCCGCTAACATGTTTAACCCCGCCACATTCTGAATGTGCCTGTCCCGAGTCAGGAGCCTGTAATTCAGTGGTTGTCGTTTGTTGCTGTGTTACACATTTGTTTATCATTCATTATTTTGTACATAAATTAGGCCGACAGTTTTCTCGTTTGAATTGTTTTACATTTGTCATTTCGGGGCCTTTTATAGCTGACTATGCAGTATGGGCTTTGCTCATTGTTGAAGGCCGTACGGTGACCTACATATGTATAGTTGTTAATTTCTGTGTCATTTGGTCTATTGTGGAGAGTTGTCTCATTGGCAATCATACCACATCTTTTTTATATATAGTTGGGAAAGAGGACACATTTCGACAGTTGAGTTGACAATGATATTACAAATTTGCCGTGAATTCTAGTCACAGGTCACCTGGTTAAATAGGCACCAGAAGTAGTTCATTTGATTTCGGCACCCATGTAACATTGTTAAATATGTTGAAAAAATATTAAAACAAAGAAGGGGCCAGGGATGGCCAGAATTATTGTTTATTATAATTTTTTTTCCCTGAAGTACGACCTAAACGGATGATTCGTCTTTCAAACACTGTACATGTAGTAGCTTCATGAATACTGGTACATGTGCATTTTAATACAGTAGATAAGATATATATTATTTTTTATATGTAAACATACATTCACCGTGAAGCTGAAGCCAACATTGTTTTTTATTTAAGTTTTTTGAAAAAAAACAATCAATAACTACATGTACCTGTATAGAGTTAAAACAATAAAATGTTAATTATTTAATTGATACATGTATAAGTTATAAATTAAATATATAATTAATTAAAAAGAAAACAAATTAATACATCACTGTCATCAGTCATAGAATTTTGAGAAAACTTCAAATAATTAACTTACATATTCTAACTAATAATTAAAAAACAGAAAAAGGTGAAAAATATTATTTGGTGCCGAAATGACCCAACTAAATTCTGAAATGACTTTAAATAGGTGCCGATTTGTCCAGATGCCAATTTGACCAGGTGCCGATTTGATCAAATAAATTAAGGTAAATGGACCACACATGCACTAGTAATTTATCATTGGTCTGTTTGATGATTAAACTGCTAATTAAATGGAAGAAAAGGAGAGATGACACCATTGATTACTATACGATTCCTTGGAGAAACACATAAAAAAGTAATCAAGTACCTGCTTGGCAAACAGCTCAAAATTAACCACTCTGAAAAATGAGGTTGTTCGTAATGATCCCAGGCCTTGTGGCTCTTTGGAAGTTTTAGCATCTTTGCTTACGTCTGTCCCCATTTTCTTACTTAGCTATAAATATATTTAAAGTTTCATTTCAGCTTCAAATGACTTTGAGTTCATGTTTATTTTCATGGGCGCAGCCATTTTTAAATTGCCCGTATGTCAAGAAAATATTTTTAATGTTTGTATTACAATAGTTTTCGAATTTTTCGTGTAGTTAAAATTAAATAATATAGCATCATAGTTTTTCAAAACAGTATAGATATGAAATGTCTGTTTAGAAATATAAATAAAAACGAACTTTCTTATATGAAAAACTTTTTCCTTATAAAGAAGTATAAAGAATACTTTTCATTTGCAATCTCATAAAATGTCAATATTTTTTTCTGGGGTTGTCTCACCTCAGTGAATGTTTGGAGGTCTGTTGATTTGGAAGGCACAAAACTGAAAATAGTAGCTAACGAAGATGCCATTAAAATACACTGATAAGCAAACTAAATTGTCAGTTAAAGACGCCTGGAAGGTCTGAGTGATTACAAACAAAAGTATAATGGTTCATGGTAATTATAACTAAATATATATATCAATATCATTCACATTTTGCACATGTATGTGACACACAATTAACATATTTTATACAGGACTGGGCAAAAGACAATAATAATACCAACATACAAACAGATGTCATTGTGATGGACTTGCCACAGATTTTGACAATAGACCACTTTCGAGTTAAGTACTTTGCTGGAAAAGTTCGTCAATTATGTGCGCCTTTATGACGTTATTTACCAGATAGAGGGGAACGCGGGTATCCCGGCACTATTAAAGATCATCAAGGGTCTTCGTGATCATCATTATGCAGGATAAACTAGAAATAACGATTGTTCTGTAGGTACGTAATCAAAATTCCCTAATCACAGCAGTGCTGATAATCAATTATAAGAATTTAATTTGCCGAATAATTCTTGCAATATAGCACCATATTTTTTCAACCAATCGCTCATCATTGGAAGGAAGTGACAACGAATGCCCCTAAACGCACGAATGATGTACACTGAAACCAAAGATTTTGACGGAAATGTAACAAACTCGAAAGTGGTCTATTGGCACATAATTGAAGAGATTTGTAGTAAAATCCAAATCTTGATCCGTTCACTCTCAAAAGATGCAAACAATTAAAAAAAAATCAAGAGCAAATTTCAGAGCTCCAGATAAGCTGCGTATTTGCGTGATCACGCAATAAAAATAATTAAAAACCCAATGCAATTGCCCATTGCAGGGTTCAATAACTCAATTAAGTCAAAGGAAAACCCAATTATATGCCAAAAACATGGGTTCTTAACGCTTTTATTCGCTATCGTTTGCGTTATTTACCCTTACTTGATTACAGTCGTCGCGTAAATCTATTTTTATAATATTTATAATTGGAAATGTCCTTTCGTTCTAAAAATAGAGCCCTGCATCAAGTAGCAATGGGTCCCTGTTGGAATTTTCCAACAGTACCCATCAGCGTGTGTGAAAACAGAACCTATGTCAATTAAGAGCCGGAAGTGAAAATAGAACCATATGTTACACATGCATAATAGCCTACTAATGGACATATATATCTACCCAAAAGATAATGTGAACTGTCACGATACAGGACTTATTATCAAATTAAGTAGCTGATATAAACACACTTTCTACACAATTATCAATGGACATCATTAAACTGCTGAACTGATAATAAAAAAATGCACGAATTAAATGGCAACATTTAAATATCTTTCTCTGTTAAAGACACATAAATTTATGTTCTGTTTGGCACTGATGAATGGGAGTCTGGATGGGGTTTACAGAAAAGAGAATAATGGTAAAAAAAAGGTGCAGAATAAATTAAGAATAGAGAAAAATTGGCAAAAATGATAATAAAAAAATAGAGAAGAGTATGGTGAACAATTATAAAGAATAAAGAATAATGGGCATGCAAAATAAATAATAAATATAGAGAAATGATCTAAAAAATTAAAGAATAAAGATATAAAGGAACCCCCATCCAGACCCTCATGAATATTTGGTTCCAGTTCTATCGTAATTATTTACAAACGCTTGTTGACCTTATTTTTGAAGATACAATTGTACCAAAAAAAAAGAAATTACTGAAAGCTTAGGTATTGGGTTGATGAACGCTTCACTGTACCAGTAAAGTAAAAAAAAATGTGTATTTATTTTATATCTGGGACTAATTGAAACATTAATCTATTAGTCCCAGTTTTATACATATTAAATTAGTCTTATTCAAAATTAGAATGTAATATGTGTTTTTTTCAAAGATATCAGACAGAACGATCATGACACAATGTCTATAATTACTACATTTATGAGTATTTCTAAAATATTAAAATACGATTACTATTACACAAGCATTTTCTCCCCCGTGAAAATTACTTTGATTGAAATAACTTAAGTTCATTGACCAGAAGGTGAAACTATTTATGAGTAAAACAGAGGTTGGAATTTAAAGAGAAAGATTAATTTGACGTAGTTTATTTATGTAGGCATGTAAATGATTAAAAATCTTTAAATGACAAAAAAAATTAATATGATTATCTACTAAATGTCTACATTATTAAAGCGTCAAAACGAAAGCGATTTTTTTCTTCGTTCTGTTTAGTGGACGACTATTTGATTTTCGGGGGAGGGGTGGGGGGGGGGGAAATCCGCTAAAAAAATATGCATGCGTAGCCATGAACAGATGTAAATAAATAGCCAATCCACAAAAACCCAGAATATCAAATGCCCGTCCCCTTAAGTAAAATAAGGATGAAGCCATGTAAGAGGGTATGGATGGGGGATCCTTAATTTCTGTCTTCTTTCAATTTTTAGGGCATTTTTCTTTATCTGTAAGAATAACGCTTAAATAATTTTACAATTAAAATTTTCTGTAATTGGAGGATTTCTTTATTCTGTACATCGTTCATTTCTCTAATCAGTAAAGTATTACACAATTCTTTTATTTTCCAGTTATTCTCTATTCTTTATATTTTCTGCTCATTTTTCTCTATTCATTATACGTGTTATATTTTTTTGCCATATTTCTCTATGAATACCCCATCCAGACCCTCATGTTATTGTAACGTAAATCTCTGTAATTTATTGTTATACTTACACTGTATTTTTCCCCTCTGAATTTTTAAAATCTTCTTTCCCTTCGAAAAAGACTGAACAACGATACACCTATGTCTATATATATATATAAGGTGTATATATGAACCAAGTCTGTATATGGAATATATATAACGTGCTAATCCAGAACCAAACATGCAAATTTAGAACCAACGCATTGTTAATCCAGAACCAAGTCTGTATATGGTATATATATAACGTGTCAATCCAGAACCAAACATGTAAATCCAGAACCAACACCTAGTCAATCCAGAACCAAGTCTGTATATGGTATAAATATAACGTGTCAATCCAAAACCAAGTCTGTTTATGGTATAAATATAACGTGTCAATCCAGAACCAAAACCTTGTCAATCCAGAACCAAGTCTGTATATGGTATAAATATAACGTGTCAATCCAGAACCAAACATGTAAATCTAGAACCAACACCATGTTAATTCAGAACCAAATGATTTAATCTGTTTATGGTATAGATATAACGTAAGCATCCAGAACCAAACATGTAAATCTAGAACCAAGTCTGTATATGGTATCTATATAACATGTGAATCCAGAACCAAACATGTAAATCTATAGAACCAACACCTTGTCAATCCTGAACCAAGTCTGTATATGCTATACAAAAACGTTAAAATCCAGAACCAAACATGTAAATCTAGAACCAACACCATGTTTATCCAAAACCAAGTCTGTACATGGTATATGTATAATGTGTTAATCCAGAACCAAACATGTAAATCTAGAACCAACACCTTGTCAATCCAGAACCAAGTCTGTATATGGTAAAAATACAACGTGTTAATTCAGAACCAAACATATAAATCCAGAACCAAAAAAGTAAATCTAGAACCAACGCCTTGTCAATCCAGAATCAAGTCTGTACATGGTATAAATATAACGTGTTAATCAAGAACCAAACATGTAAATCTAGAACCAACACCTTGTCAATCCAGAACTAAACTTGTAAATCTAGAACCAACACCTTGTCAATCCAGAACCAAGTCTGTATATGGTATATATATAACGTGTCAATCCAAAACCAAACATGAAAATCTAGAACCAACACCTTGTCAATCCAAAACCATGTCTGTATATGGTACATATATAACGTGTCAATCCAGAACCAAATATGTAAATCTAGAACCAACACCTTGTCAATCCAGAACCAAGTCTGTATATGGTATAAATATAACGTGTTAATTCAGAACCAAACATGTAAATTCAGAACCAAACAAGTAAATCTAGAACCAACGCCTTGTCAATCCGGAACCAAGTCTGTACATGGTATAAATATTATGTGTTAGTCCAGAACCAAACATGTAAATCTAGAACCAACACCTTGTCAATCCAGAACCAAACATGTAAATCTAGAACCAACACCTTGTCAATCCAGAACCAAGGCTGTATATTGTACATATATAACGTGTTAATACAGAACCAAACATGTAAATCTAGAACTCACACCTTGTCAATCCAGAACCAAGTCTGTATATGGTATAAATATAACGTGTTAATTCAGAACCAAACATGTAAATCCAGAACCAAACAAGAAAATCTAGAACCAACGCCTTGTCAATCCAGAATCAAGTTTGTACATGGTATAAATATAACGTGTTAATCCAGAACCAAATATGTAAATCTAGAACCAACACCTTGTCAATCCAGAACCAAACATGTAAATCTAGAACCAACACCTTGTCAATCCATAACCAAGTCTGTATATGGTATATATATAAAACGCGTCAATCCAGAACCAAACATGTAAATCTAGAACCAACACCTGGTCAATCCATAACCAAGTCTGTATATGGTATAAATATAACGTGTCAATCCAAAACCAAACATGTAAATCTAGAACCAACACCTTGTCAATCCAGAACCAAGTCTGTATATGGTATAAATATAACGTGTTAATTCAGAACCAAACATGTAAATCCAGAACCAACACCTTGTCAATCCAGAACCAAGTCTGTATATGGTATAAATATAACGTGTCAATCCAGAACCAAAACCTTGTCAATCCAGAACCAACACCTTGTCAATCCAGAACCAAGTCTGTATATGGTATAAATATAACGTGTTAATTCAGAACCAAACATGTAAATCCAGAACCAACACCTTGTCAATCCAGAACCAAGTCTGTATATGGTATAAATATAACGTGTCAATCCAGAACCAAACATGTAAATCTAGAACCAACACCTTGTCAATCCAGAACCAAGTCTGTATATGGTATATATATAACGTGTCAATCGAACCAAACATGTAAATCCAGAACCAACACCTTATCAATCCAGAACCAAGTCTGTATATGGTATATATATAACGTGTCAATCCAGAACCAAACATGTAAATCCAGAACCAACACCTAGTCAATCCAGAACCAAACATGTAAATTTTAGTAATCTTTATAAAAATAAGAAGATGTGGTGGTATGATAGCCAAGGAGAAAACTTTCCACCAGGAACCAAAATGATATAAAAGTAAGCAACTATAGGTCACCATACGACCTTCGTCAATGAACAAAACCAATACCGCAAAGAAAGCTATCAAATGCCCCGAAATGAATTGTAAAATAATTCAAACGAGAAAACTAACGGCCTGATTTATGTACAAAAGAATTTACGAAAAACAAATATGATATACAGCAACCAACGACAACCACTGATTTACAGGTTCCAGACTTGGGACAGGCAAATACAGAATGTGGCAGGGTTAAACATGTT